AAATTCTAAAGATATGCTCAATTTAGAATTATTTTGTAACATTGCTATTGAACTAAATTTTATGGTTTAAGTACAAAGAACATGATATTTAATAAATAAAGGTAACACACAAAATGTAAAAAAAAAAAAAAAAAAAAAAAAAAAAAAAAAAAAAAACTCTTTTGGATGTAATTTAAAATCTGAAACATTTCAGATTTTTTTAATGATTGTTATGAATCATAATTAGTATTTTTAATAATATAAATATAATTAAACCGATTTGGCTTCTCAGACCGGAATCCAAAATGTGGCGTGGCAGTCTTACGGTGCAATTTACAGACGAAAGTTCAAAATTAAAATCATATCTATTCAAATGCTTACAATGCACACCATGAAAATATTTCCAGTTGAGTCAAAAGTGTTGCAGCAAAATTTGATATACATTTGAAAATCACAGACAGAGTCACTGAAATCGCCTCAAATATGAAATCAGCTGTTACTATTTTAAAGTTTCCATACCTGCAGTGCTTTACACATTCATTAAAACTGATTTTGCAACATGCTTTTGGGTTGGCAACACAGAAAGTTGTTGACGTAGTTAAGCAGATCGTGATGTATTTTCAAAAAAGCTCATTCATTTTAAGAGCAAACGTGCGGAAATGTTGCAGGATTTAAAGAAAGTTAAACTCAAATTGAAACAAAACATACCTACTAGGTTGAATTCTACCTATGTTATTTTAAAAAGTTTTTTGTTTTTTTTTTTTTTTTAGAAGAGAACCTATAATTTCTTCCCTTGCTATATTAGGCAAGAATTATTTAATTTGTAGGATCAAGATTGGAATACTATGAAACAGTTTTCTACGAGGTAGCACAAGAAGTGTCATCAGAACCAACCGTTTCTCTTTACAATATAGAAATTTTAGTAAGATTTATGCCATATTGTATGAAAGCTCACAAGGACAGAAATAAAGGCATGGGGGTTGTTACAAGAAATAGAGTTGTTAATTCATGACATACTAAAAAGATTGTCAGAACAGTTTAGGCTTATCCCTAACAACGAGCACAACATCAGCAGTTTTCTTGAATCCCTGCTTGAAGGGAAAAAAAAAAAAAGGCTTCACTGATGATCTAAAATACCAAGAATACTACGATTATGTTGTAGTAATAATGAAAACTTTAAGTATACAATATCAGTTGCCCCAGATATAGCAGTCAAATCCATTTGTTCATTTAGTGTGAATTCTTCCGTGTGGGAGGAGCTTGATGAAACTATCTACAAACTTCAAGGGGCACAGGACTTGGGATCTGCTGCAATAGTGGAAATAAATAAATATTTATAGGAATATTATTTACCTAGAAATAATAACCCATGAATGTGGTGGGAGTCCCAAAAACAAATACATCCCACATTGTATGAACTTATTCTAAAATGATTATGCATCCTGCCTGCTCCAGTGCCCTGCAAATGGTGCAAGCAGGCCAGATATGCACTGAGAAAGAAACCGCCTCTGGTCAGGCTTTATTATTACTATAAGTTCATCTCAAAATCTAACAGTAACAGAAAATTCTAATCATTTAATAGTAATGAATATTATTATGAATTCATTATTATTATTTCATTAAATTATTCATTACTATTATTTTATTAATGAAAATAGATTATTAAATATTGCATTCCGACCTGCAGGCATATAACCCGCTAGTTCATATTTTTTATATTTTGTCAAGTTTTGTTTTCGTTTCCTAATTTCTAGAAGAAACAAAAACATAAAATTCACAAATTATTACTGAGATTGATCAGAAATATAAACGTTATATAAACATTGTTCTTAAATAAATGCAGTTCAGTTTAAACTAAATCAAAATAAACCTCAAAGAAGTCACAACTATAGTAACCTATTCTACTGTCCAACATACAACAACCATGTAAATTTTACTGCATCTACGGAGGGGACAAATGACCACCCTAAGGACTTTTATCATTAAGGAACAGTAAAGGAAGGGGAAAAAGAGTTTTGGATCGTGCCGTCCTAAAGACATAAAATGGTTCTAAATATATTATGAGAAATAACCTCATAATATAATTAAAGTAATATAATGAGAATTTATGCCAGGTTTTAGAAGGTTAAGTAAGGTTCCATTGTACTTGTAAAACTAGATGATGCTAAACATATTCGTTTTTGATGTAGCAGTTTTAATGGAAAGTAGTAAAATTTTATCTATACCACTGTCCTGTTTACTAAAATTTTACAAGTGCTATTTTATACAGTAAATGTAATAAACAAAATATGTTCTTCATACCAACATATGATAATGCTAAACTTCTACCTCTAATTCACTGTTTGTACTATCATCTGCATCAAAAATAAGATTCAATGGTAATATTGAAATTTCGTAGTTAATGTGCACAGCTGAACTTTAATATGTTAAAGTTTAAGGGAAAAAATTTTCAGTAAAAAAAAAAAAAAAAAAAAAAAAAAAAAAAAAAAAAAAAAAAAAAAAAAAGATCTGACTTTTAGCAACTGACTGATCAAAATTCTATTGCGTAATGTTTATATGTAGCTACATTTTCTATTTTATTCCTAATACCATTCTGCATCAGTCTGCTCTACATTTTAAAATCTTTCACATGAATTATATACATATATAAGGCACATAAAATTAAAAAAAAATTGTTTACAAATAAGAATATTAATATTCTAAATTTTCAGTATTGAATAAAATACTTTGTTAAAAAATTTAAATGCATATATTTTTTAAATTATTAAAAGAAAAAGCAAATTTTTCTATTATTTTTTCAACAAAGCAGACTGATTAACTTTAAGGCAGAAAGTGGTATAGGTCCAAATAGTAAAATTAGCTACATTAAGGCATTGAATAACTCACACTCAAATTAAATTTGAAACACTTTTTCAAGTAACTTTATTTCCATATTATAAAAAGTACAGCAAATTTTTCCCCCTTTTCTGAAGATCAGGAGGAAAGGGGGGAAATGCACAGATGGATGGCATCTATGCCCACAGTATTAAAAACACAATTTTGTAAACACAAAATATACAACGACTATCTACAAATAATAGCATGGGCAAACGTACAGAAAAAAAAAAAAAAAAAAAAAAAAAAAAAAAAACATTTAATAAGTAATGATATAAGATACTGGATGCAAGAATTACATAAATACTGGAGGACATTTACAGTTGCAAAGGACTAAAGGACCACACCAATTTCTGCCATAAAGACAGTTAGAATATATTGATTTAGCATCCACAATTCAAAATCTTGCAATTTTCTACTGAAAGAAATCCAAACCAATGAATAGTAAAATAAATTATACTAAACTTCATCAAAAGATAATTTTAGTGAAAGAAGGTTTAAAATCATAAGGAATAAATAAACTATGAATTTTAAACAAGAATGAATCTAATATCAAGTAATTTTTTAATCAGCACATCTTTTGAATAGAGCTCAGGTATCGATCCAATAACCAATATATTTTGTCCTCAGCAATTTTCTGAAAAATTATCCTAAATATTAAATAAAACTTCTATGAAATTTTAAAACTTGTCTAATATAAAATAGACACAATATACTTCTCAATGCACAAAAATAAAAAAAATTAAATGCATTATGACAAGACTCTCATGTCTGTACTCAAGTACTTACTGTTTCAGCACACAAAATGTTAGGTTAAATATTACTTAACACAATTACAACAGAATCAATAATTTCATAAATTTTTAAAAAAGAGTACATCAGCTTGTTAATATTATTTCTTAAAATAATATTTTCATAACAAGAATCATCAGTGCAAATATTATTGCATAAAAAGCTGAGTCAAGCAACTTAATATCACAAATAACAATAAAAAATGTTAGGCTTTAGGGGCAAAACAGCAATATTAACAATGAATATGAATTATTAAGCTAGTTTGACTTGATCCTATAGCAATGGATCTGCTGCCAAACATTTAAAAAATTAATAACACTACATTTTAATTTCATTGCTGCAGTAAACCTTTCGTCCGAGTCTAAAGACCTTAAGATATAATGTAATACCTTAACTATATTTTTAACTGAACTAAAAAAGTGTAAATGTTAAAACAATGGAAAAAAAAAAAAAAAAAGAAGAAGCAAGCTTATGTTTTTAAGCAGCATGGTTAAAACTAATACACTGTTTTGCTTATAACCCAGCAAGAGATTAAGGGGAAAAAAAAAAAAAAAGAAAAAAAGAAAGAAAGAAAAAGAGATTCCATTATGAAATAACTTGATTTAGAGAGTAAAACCGCTTATACTATAAAAAACCAACTGTAACTGAAAAAATGGTATTTGAAAAAACATGATACAAAAAACATATTTAATTCAATGTAGATATTACTAAATTATGCAAACAAGTAAATACAATTATTGCTATAAACAGAGGATCACTAATAAATACTCAAGATTTTAATTTTGAGAATATTTTCCTTGTACTCCCCCCTCCTTTAAATAGTTTTTTTGCAATGCTGTTAACCAATAATTTTAAAGGATGAAAAAATGCTCTACAAAAATTAGAAAAGACCCTAAGCGTTAGGTATTAAAGAAGCAAGACAAAATAAAGCAATCTATTGTTCAAGTCTTTTAAAAATCTCAAATGAGATATATTTAATCTAACTACTAATATATACATACTGGTTAGATTTTACAAATATAAAAATCTTTACTTCACAGTTCTTTTATAATATCAAATTTTCTTTTGAGGAATGTGATTTAACTCAATTTTCAAAAAACAGCAAAACAAAGATTAACAAAATTCTACATGAAGATTTTTTTTTTAAATGGGGGGAAAAAAGTAAAAATCAATTTCCAACTTTATATTAGAAGTTGTGTTTGAATAATGTATAATATTCAAAAGATACAGCTGCAAAGTAAATATGTTAAAATTACAAGAGCCTTATGTATTTTATTTTTGGAATTTTAAGATCATAATAATTGTGTAATCACTTAGCCCTTTGAAGACTGGCACAGCTGTTTGCTAAAACTTACTTGAATTATTATAATTTGCAGGCTGAATTTGAAGTCCAGGATTAGCAGCTAAAGTAGCTGCTATATTTGGGAAATGAGAAAGTCTATTGGTATTAGACATAGTGGGTGTTTTCTGGTTTGGTGGTCCATCTAAATCAATCACCTGAGGAGTACGTTGCTGCAATGACGCCTGATTAGTGTTCATACGTTGCACTGAATTGTTTGCTTGATTATTCATAGGATTCATATTGACACTTCTTGGAGCTATTGCTCTATATCAAAATAAATAAATAAATAGTTTAATTGTTTAATTTTATAAAAAATTTACATAAAAAATTATTACATATCATTTTCATGAATAATAACCCGAACTTTGAAAATTATATGTAAACAAGACAATTCAAAGCTTCTGTACAAACTAGAGTTTTGATCAAACCTCATGTACCCCTTCTACTCAGACATGCACATACATACACATACAGTGGAACCTCGAGGTGAGTTTAATTTGTTTCAGCATTGAGCTCATATAGTGAATTTCTTGTATCTAGAAACAAACTTTCCCGTCAAAACTAATGGAAATCCAGTTAATCCATTCCAAACCCCCAAAAATCTCATTACCATCTCATCTTCAGTCAACGTACCTGGTGTTTTTCAGAGAAGTTCCAAGTACAGATTCTTAGCAAATGATAGTTTCTAACACTGAATTGCCTTTTAACTGCTTCTTGTTAATCCACACCAGCAACAGCTTCTCAATATCTTCTAGGAGTTTCGGACAGTGCTTGAAGTAACAGTAACTCCTTTGGCCCCATTTTTTAAATTTCTTCCTTCTTCTTCAGAATAGTGCAGATTGTTAATGTCGAATGGTCGTAAGTCTTCGCCAATTCTGTCACTCTTACACCATGCTTATGTTTATCTACGATTTCTTTCTTAATTTTAACGGCCATGGTTCCCTTCTTTTTCTTTGTAGCACTATCTGAGGCAACAATCTTCTTGGGAAGCAGCGTGCAATAATTATTTTCACGTTAAATCTATAAAACAATGAACACACTAGTGCAAAAATATATAGATCAAAGAATAATGAGTGATCTGACAAGGGGATTCCCGGAGTTGAGCTGGATAAAGAATCGCCTGACTCATTGCTCTTTATTCAAGTCAATGCTCGTACTTAGAAATGAATTTTTCACTCATACTTTCCTCGTATCTCGAATTTTTCATATACAGAGGTGCTCATATCTCGAGGTTCCACTGCACATACAAAATATTCCTGCTGCCTATCCAAACATGCTAAGTACTTCACTGTAATAATACCACAAATTTGTACATTCACTGTGATTCTCATTAAAGAAATAACAACCTCTCTTTTTTTTCTTTTCTTGATAATATAGTATCATTTGAGAGAATAAATCTTAATTGGTGCCCAACAAACATAAGCAATGAAGAAAAATAAACTCAATGTTTTTCTTCAATAATACATATCAGTTAAATAGTACTCATCATTTTTTCTCAAAAAATATTAATAGCAGCTAATTAATGCTAGGAACACTGCAAAGGATATTTATTATGTCGTGAAATGTTTTTAAGATAAGATATTAAAAGATCAGAAGCTTTAAAAATAACATTAAGCTTATTCATACACAGGCCATTGTATTGATTCCCATATTATTCATTAAAATAAAGTCCAATGATAGGTTATTTCCTTTGGTAGAAATAAATGCATGTGAATCATTAATAGCTTCAAAGTTTAATGTGATTCAGAGTTTTCAAAGCTCAGTTGTCACAATATTTTTCAAATAAAATTGTATACACATCTTCATGGGCATACATTAAACAATATGCCTGCTGGATATTTAACTTTTTCAAATTTAAAAGAACAGGAGTATAATATTTTATATGAATACTGGGCCTGCTTTCCATACACTAATGCATCTCCATCTAGTTTGACAGATGTGACAGCAAACAACAAGGTTATATTCAAGATATTCATCTCAATTTTTTCCCCTTTTCTTTTTGTATGCTTCTTGTAGGGAAAAGCAAAATTTGAAATTTCTCACAAATACACACATCACTAAATATAGACATCATAACCAGGGGAATTTTTATCATGTGCTGGAAATTTTTGAGTGGGTACAACTAATTAAAAATCCACTCAAATATATTTATTCACACTGTACATCCTCCTGTAAGTTTGCAGGTAAGTCTGGAGTCAACTGAGAATGCAATAATAAATATATTAAGCAACTAGTATTTTCTGAAATCATGAAATCTATTATAATTAAATTAGGAAGCCAAAACAAAGTACTTTTTCATTTCATCTTTGGTCTCATTAAAATAAGCTGCAACATATAACTTACAGTGCCACTGCTTCTATCAACAAGACTGATTTTTGTAAAATATTTATCATGTGTTTTTGATGAAAAATTTGCCAACTCACCAGATCAGAAAACAACTTCCTTAACAATGGACCAACATCATCTGCAGTATCAAAGCAACATCATGCTCAGTTAAAAAGTATATAAATAACTGTTCAGCTTGAAAGACACTAATTTGAAAATCAGCAGATTTTTTTAAAAAATGGTGTCAACTTTCTGACTTTTATCCAAATTTTCAATATTTGATATATTTTTTAATTATTTTTTATTTTACTTTTTTATTTATTTTTTAAATTTCAGATGTTTTACATTAATATTTTTTTTTTCCTACCACAAGGCATTTTAAAATCGCATCTATAGATGCTGCAAAAAGGACAAAGAAATTTATCCCAGTAAGTTGGTCTAAAATACTGACAGCATTGTTTTTTTACTCATTTTATCAAACGATGTGCAAACAATATTTGATACAAAATATATGTAATAATACTACTACATATATTTTGTATTTGCCAATTCAGATTTCTAATTAATTTGATGAAATCTTGTCAAAAAAGAAAAATTCTCAAAGATGCAAATTAGATAGTGTAGAAACAAGATCAAAGAACTTCAAAGAAGAAAGTGGAAAGATATGCTTTGATATTACACAATCTTGTACAATATTGGAATTTAAGGACATCACAATGCCCACATATTTACGGGTAAAAATGTGAAGAAATCCATGAGTGCAAATCAACTCAAATGTTTCCAAGCTACACGTTTTTCAAAATTAAATGATGAATAATTACCATACTTAATGATGCACAAACACATAATATAAGAATGCTGAAGCGATGAAATGCTTCAATATTTCTTCCTCTCCCTGGAAAAATGCAGATTTGCCCACTCAAGCAGTGAAGATTGACAATCCTAACTCTGTTAACGGACATTTCTCCATCATGTGATTTGACAGTAACTTAAGTCTAATAAAAATATGTGGCAAAAACAGGTTTGCCAAAAAATGTCATAATGGAATGATTTTTTTGTCATCTTTATGAAAATTTATATCTAATTTATGAAAAAAAATTGTCTTCAAGCTTAAAACTGTAACAGTCTTCCCATACTCGCCAACATAAGAACACCCACATTAACTTTGATAAACAGTTTATACCCAGCATTATCAAACTGATGTATCAAAAGTGAAGGAAGAGGTACACATGTCTACTCAAATTACAGGTCATCCCTCATAAGCTTTTGTTAGGTCATATCCTAGTTGAATAACTATGAATGTCATGGCAAAAATTAGGGGCCATTTATGGTTAGACAATATTTATTATCCTTCTTCCCCCCATTCAGATTATATATCAGAGAAAGAAAAATAATTTATTCTGTCATTACTTAAATCAACCTATACAATAATGCACAGTATGTATATTGAATTTCTTTTTTATTGCTCCAATCCCTAAGGATCAGGTTAAATGCCAGAATCACTTATTTTCATTTCAATTTAACCTAGGATTAGCCTAAAATAAATCAGACAAAAAGTTAACCTATAACTAGCCTAATTTGTATCTGATTTATTTATCTTACTAGGCAAAAGATTACAATGTTCCACATAATTTGCATTATTTTAATTAGTAGCATAATAGTAACATAGTGTACATTATGTTTTATAAATGTGAATATTGGCAATATTTTGCTTTGCATAGTTATCAAGTAAACCAAACATTGTCTCATGTGAATATCATATTAAGAAATCAATCCTGAAGTACATTACAAGAATGAAAAGGGGAGCATTACATGAAATACATAATGAAAAGGTGAGGACAACACCCCGTGTCACAAGGCTACAATTATGTTGGAGTGGTTCCAGGAACATGATGCTGATTTCTAGTTAATGTCCTGGCTGCCTAACTCACCGGATCTCAATCCGATAGAACACATTTGGGATGTCATGGGACGGCATCTCAGAGGTCAAAGACCACCAATTCGCAATATCTCGAATTTGTGTGACCCTTGCTACAACATCTGGTACAATCTGTCTCCGGCCATCTATCAAGGACTTGTGGCATCCATACCAAGGCGGGTTGAAGCTGTGTTGCGCACCAAAGGTGGCCCAACTCGTTACTGACAAGTGGTCATAATGTTTTGGCCCTTGAGTGTATATTTATATACGTTTGGTGTGACCGATTGCAACCAAAATACGAGGTGCACATCTACATGTTATAGCAGTCCTATATACAAAATTTCAACATTCTGAGGCTGCGAGTTATGCAAGATACGTTCGTACAGACGCCATGAAAAATTCTCTTCAGAATTCATTTTAAAGCAGTTTTATAATTTTTTTGAAGAAAAAGAAAAACATCGTTAAATTGCATTTGATAGCGGTCAAAATGAATATTTTCATTGAAATATGCTGCCTGAAACTTTTCACGATTACAATACTTCCTTTTTATTTTGTACAAGAAAGTAGATATCAGACAAATCTGAAGTGAAGTACACATATGGCCTCTGAAACATGTTTTAATAATTACAATAATGCTGCAAATGTTCCTTAAAATCATTAATGTGATATATTCTTAAAAATAAAATTTTTATATTAATAAGAAATGCATTTATTTCTTTTTAAATATTAAATCATTATAAATCAAATAGCAGCATCGTAAGATTTTTGACTACTTGCTGGGCTGTAAGAAAATACAAACTTTCTCACACAGTCACAACACCTGCAAAATTGAACAGATGGAAATGCATGACAGTGTAAGATAGGTCAAAATTTTTCAACTCTTTTAAAGATGTTTCTAATGCCAAAATATTAAAACAATGCAATCATAAAAATTATTTATAGTTCCAAAATACATTTTAACAGCATTTCAGGTGTAATTTTTAAAAATAACTACAAACTGCTCAATTCAGCTACACTAAAAACTCAAATTACATGGTGTGTCTAAAACAAAATTCACTGTTTTGCTTGCTTTGAATAAATAAATAAATAAAATAAATTTAAACTATTTTTTAATTTTAACTTTAATGGTAGGCTTGATACATTAGATTAAAGTTTTTGAATTGCAGTGTTTTAATTTTTTTTTTTTTTTTTTATACTGTTAACTGCTAAAAACAGTTTTAACCCTCCTAGCATTTACAGTTTAGCTCTGAAATTCTAAAGTTCCTCAAAATGTCACAAATAAATGGTATTTTCTTGATTATAATTAAATAAACAACTCTCTCACTTTGTGTCTTGATGATTCCTTTTCTGCCAATATATATCCAACAACTTGAAATCGAACACATTAAAAGCAAGCAGAAATTTTTATGTGCAGTGAAGTGAATAAGAAAGGCACCCTTCTATACAAAATTTTATGTCCTTAATGCTGAGGATTTTTTAAAAAAAAAAAAAAAAAAAAAAAAAAAAAAAAAAAATCACAAAACTGTAATCTGATACTTTTATACTGATTTCAGTTTAATATCTGAAACAATTTTATATAGCTAAAGACCTAGTTAAAAATCAGATCAGAAATTAAAGATACAGAGTGTAAAATCTTAAGCTGTTCAAAATGGTAAAATCAAATAGTAGGATAAAAACTGCTCAGATACTATCATATATTAATGGCACCCTGGAGACTTGCACACTTATTTTATAAAGAAACGATATTATTCAGTGTGTAACTTCCATTTATTGCATTGGAATGCTTGTCCATAAGGTTTAGAATAAATACCAAGAGCAGCAATATTTCCTACTTTGCTTGCCCTACACACCGAAAACAGTATAAACACTTTGAAAAGGTGTTTAAAATATGCCAATAAAATTTACACATGCATGGAATCCAGCCTTCTGCTTTATTTGTTCTCTTCACTAAGACTGCCATAAAAATATTTTACAGTTACACAAACACACAACACAGTTTTAAAGCAATATTCATATAATTATGCACATGATAAGCAGGATTAATGGTCACAACTTCAAGGGGTAATAAAACATGCTATAAGTAAAACTTTTCATAATATAATGAGAGTAGGAATGTGAGATTTGAAAGCAGAAACAAACATTAAAACTAAAAATGTGAAACATAAAAATGAAAAGCTGTTTAAACTGCAGTTATTTACAAGTAACAATATGCGATATTTAAAAGAACTGTATAAACTAATGATTTCAATACATGCATGAAAACCATGAACGATCTCATTTACAAAATACAGATTGATGCTCAGCATCTTCCAAAGTGTATGCCAATCCTTCCATCTTGTGACACATGTATTACCCTTACGTAAAATGACCTTTTTTCATTTTCCATGTACTTCATACTTTAGTTTAAATGTCACATTGAATAACAAACAAAGTCCAACATTAAGAATCAGCATAAATTTCAAAAACATTTTTTCAGTACTAGTTGCGATGGTTTTTGAACTACCTTCTTCAACTGCTAAGTTCAAATGAACCAAATAAGGGGTGAAAAATTCTCTTCCATTCCTTGACATTTTGGTTACATGTAACATATCTGACTTCAGTACTATTGCTTACTGTAAACCTTTATCGGTTTGCCATCTGCAACACTTCAAATCATGTCATTCGATGAAACAGAAGTCAGCTTCATTTTATTTCTTTGTTTTCCGTGCACTTCAAGTTTGCTCCTCCAAATCAGCTCTTGATCAAGAACTAAATTATTTAAAAGCAGTTGCTATTGACAGAGGCTTTTCACCAAACATTATTAACCGTGCAGTTAAAAAATTATCATCAGAACACATCAAAAGGTACAATTTTGTTTTAGGTGATTACAGGAATTCTGTTGTCATTCCTTTCTTTTCGTCAATTAGCTATAAAACTGCATGTATTTTGCAGAAATTCAACTTTCGGGTTGTTTTCTCTCCTATCAATAAAATGCTTGGTTCCATGCTTAAGGACTCCATTCCGGATATGATTTCCTGTGGTATTTACAGGATTCCTGTGGTATTTACAAGAATGTGGTTTAATTTACATTGATCAAACAAATAGAACCTTAAAATTTCATGTTAAAGAACATGAGACATATGTTAGGAAAAAGGAAACACAGAAAATCCGCTGTTGCTCAACATTGTTGGAATGAAAATCACACTTTCCATTTTTCTGCAGCCAAAAGTATTCAGAAAACACCCTCCATTGGAAAATTAAGACTTTTTAGAAGTGCTTCACATCTAAAAAAACATTTCTGTTCTAGTTAATAATGCCAATTGCAATACATCTTTACCTTCTGCCTTTAAAGAAATTTTGTTTTAGTTTTTCTTGTTTCATCAATAGATGGCATCGGTAGCTTCTGTCTAACTTAGCTTATCTCTATCCTTATCTTCTTTTCATCCTTTATCTGGTTCATTTGCACTTAGCAGCTAGCTACACAAGGTAGTTAAAAAACTATCAAAACTAGTACTGCAAAATATTTTTCAAAATTTATGCTGATTCTAAATGTTGGACTTTGTTTTTGATTACTTCATACTTACCTGCGATTCCATGTTCATACTTTAAAACTATAAGCAGTGTTACAGAAAATTGTTACTTTTGCTATGTTCTGGCACCTCTTAAAATTATGACCATTACTTCTGTTACACCCTTTATATATATTCATAAATGGAAACTATTACTGCAGCATTTAGCTTAACTTATTTTAAGACTTAAATGACAACAGACTTTTAAGATAAGCCAGTCTTTCAAATGATCAGATCATCATCAAAATATTTCTAATCACTTCTGTAATTATAAAGCAAATGATATTTGCATTTTGAAAGCAAAAAATAAAATTCTGAATGTGAATTTTAATAGTTATTCCAAAGCATTCTAATAAAAATTATAATTTATGATCATGAAAATTGTGAAAAAAATTACCAAATAATGTGAAAATGTATACATTTAATGCATGTCAAATCTGTCAGATATACTACTCACCTTTGTTTGGATGGTGATGGACCAGCAGGGCTAGGAAGAGGAGTGACTGATATACTCTTGTTTTGACGTAATGGCATAGGTAACTGAACTGTATTGTTATAAGCAGGAGGATTTTGCACTTGTTGTTGGGGCTGCATTTGCTGCTGAACTTGTGGATGTTGTCTCATCTGAGGTGCAGGCTGCCGTTGATGTACTACATTTCTTTGAACATAATTCACATTTGGCTGCATATTAAAATTTGTTGGTTGATTCTGCTGCATGTTAGCACGTTGAATAGTTCGATTGTAAGTTATTTTATTATTGTTCATCATTTGTCTACCTTGTAAGTTGTTATTCACATTACGAGCTAGATCTGTAGATGATGTAACTTGCGGTTGTCCATAAGGTCCTATATGTTGTTGCTGTTGTTGATTCATTTGTACAGGAACTGGAACTGCACGCTGTTGCATTTGAGGAGACTGGCGTATTACAGGCGGCGTATTTGGCTAGATATAAAACATATTTTTTTAATAAAAAATATATAAGTGATTTACTATATATTTCCAAATTTAGTTTACTTACAACTGGGCTTTGAGATACTGTCTCTGGCATCGGCAACATTTGATTCTGATTTACTGTTGTCCCAGGAATAGGTTGTTGATCTACTAATATTTGTCCTAAGCTACTAATATACTGTGCCAAGAAGCTTGATACATAAGTGAATTGTATATCCACCATATGATGAGGATTTGGAACTTCACAGCGATGCCTTAAAATACGACGCAACTGAAAAATAGTCATAAGTTATCATTACATCATAAAAACAAACACGTTGTAAGTTTCATCGTAATATACACTGGTTAAGCTGAAAACATATGCACATACAGGAGAACTAAATTATCAAAAAAGAAAAAGTGTATCATTATATATTTAAAATAATGCAATAATAAGTTATCCAGCTTCTGATACGAAAACGACCTGTAACTACAATATATAATATACTTTCAAATATTCCTCCCTGGATCTCAGGAGATCCATTCGTATTATTATCACAATATATACAGAATAAGCATCTATCACAGCAAGCAGACATATGATGGATTAAAAAAATCAGCAAATATGTGCAACAGATATTCACGATTATCTGAGCTGCAACACTCTCCACAAGTTTTATAATTTCCTTGGCAGAAAACCTATCAATTTAATATGTCAATAAGGAAATATAAATCTGGGTTAAGGTCCAGAAAACGTGATGGTTAAAAAAAGAAAATATAAGTTTTCATTGTGCAGTCCAAATCATTTACAAATACTTCTACTATTATGGCATGGTGAGAGACCTCTGGCCTTGGGAAACACAATCATCGCGGTGAGCACACCTCAACTGCAATAATAAAGACAGAAATCTTTCATTCAAGGTGCTCTTCAGTGACATAAGTGAATACAACGATTGCCATAAAAACATTATATGGCCTGGCTGCACCTCAGAGTTTATAGATCTCTTTTTGGAAGTTACATGTCTTATATATTTTAGACTAGTGTTTTTTAAATTGAAGGTCGCAAGCTCAAATGGGTCACAGTATGAAATGTTAGGGTTACAAAAATTTAATTCAGATATATTAATTTAAAGAAATATTAGTTCCAATTCCTTCATTATCTTTAATACATCACATTTTCTATGAAATGCATGCATGAAATCATAATACTGGCCAAGTGGAATTGTAAATTATATTTTTGAAAAATATTACCAAATGGATTATAATAGTGGTGTCCCACTGCAATTATATGCTACAAAAGCACAGTACATCATGTCCTGAGTCAAACAGGCATGCAGAGAATAAAGTACGTACCACTGTGACTATAGTTTGTTTCTCTAAAAGAGGCACTTCAAAGCAGTTACTATCCTTCTCTATTTGAGATAGAAATTAATGTCATCATTACCACACACACCTCTTATGTTCTTCACCTTATTTGAGACTGCAGTTCACCTCAGCCTTTATTTATGTGCTGTGCATTAAATGAAACACACTAAATGTAAATGAAGACGAGGGGGGAAAATTCAGGCGACTAGCACTATTTGCTGCAGCTTTCATTAATATAGTCACAAGCCATGTCGAATGGCAGAAAGCAATTTTGAATATTTCAAAGTAACAGATTATATAGTACTGATAATGATTTTCCAGTACAGTGTGTTGTTGCCGATTCATCGCAACAAGCACGCACATTTCAAAAATAATAAAATATTCTAATTTACTGTTTTACTCTGGAATAATTACTATCCAAAAATTTTATATTGTTTATATTTTAGGATAAAAATACTTTTTTACCCATGAATAAATGGTTGAACTTGAATAACAAAAGTAGTGTTTGCCCTGTGAAAAAGTACAAAAAAACAAAAACATGGTGCATCAAATGTGAAGATATTTGTATTTGGAACAGATGACATTTTATTCAATGAGCTGCTAATATTTGTTGTTGCATTTTTTTCTCTGCATCTAAAGTGCTAATAAGAAAATAAAGAATGGATACAGAGCAAATATATACTATTTTTTTTCATATACTATTAGTATATAATGCAATTTTCTACTCCTTTAAGAAATTTTATTTCATAAAAGCATTTGGAGAACTTAGAAATTTTAATATGCATATTTTTTTGTTTGGTCATAAAATTTATTATTAGCATAGATGTAACAACACTTTTTCTGAAGATTTACAGATTTTTCTTCAAAAACCACGAATCGGATGAGCGCATATGTGCTCCCAGGTTAAGAAAACTAAAGACGGAAATGATGTGGTCTTATCTTTTAGGTGAGTCACATATACCAATCCCATTGCTCATTTGAAGCCCCCATCTAAAGAAAAAGACATTCTGCAATAGCAGTTGATAATTCTTAACTTCTCAGAAAAGCCACTCCATAAACCAATCTGTTCACAACCGAGATGAACAAACTAGGCTTATATTTTTGTACAAATAGAATTTATCAATAATAAAATTTATCATCTTACAAACTAGTTTTATGGTCCTGTGTATACAAATTTATAAATGAACGCATTAATTTATTGATTTAGTATTTGATATGTTGTATGTTATTTATTGAAATTATTATTTTAGAATTTCATTGATTTTCCTTAGTTTAGGTAAGACTTCCTGTCCAAGAATTTTACTGCTCGGAATGTACAGTCCTTTGAAAAGGGGCAAATGTTATGAATTTTGTAAATATGTAAATAATTTTAGTGAAATTATATGTAAATTACAGCATCTCTTGTATAATAAAACATGAAAGGCCTCAGGAGAGTAAAGCATCGCTGGACAAACAGAGTTACACGGGTAAGTCCACTTAACACTGTCGCAAATGGTTATCTCACCAAATTGGGAAGATAGCACCAAGCTGGCAACAGTTTTTGCAACTATTTTTTGTCGCCAAATAGTCTGCAAAATCACAAAAGGTTGCCAAGTTTGGTAAGCATTTGCCACATAGGAATCAGTGTGCGTGCTTTTAACAGAAGCCTATTTTAAAACACAATACAGTCAAAAGTCGTTCATTCGGACACCCATAATCCGGACATCAAAGCTACAAATTTTCTGCACATGCGCGTAAAACCTTTACGGCTGCGAATATGCGTGTGCGCAAAATAGGTTTACGAATGTGCATTTAATGTATAACGGATGGTATAAGCTAAGCTAAAATTATCTAATTCAGTTAATGTTGCAGATTGCGTTGTTCCTTAATCTTCGAATTGGATTTGGCTTATTATTTTTTGCAGACTGTTAGAGCAATTTTATAAAAGTAAGCTTGAACTTTTGATTATGTCAAATAGAACTTCTGATATATATTTACTAATATGTAAAGGATCTACAAAGCGAAAGTATGCTTCGAAGTCCATTAAACAAAAAAGTGGAATTGCTGCAAAAAATGGATAAAGGCATATCCTTTGTTTATCTAAACTTTGTTTATCTTTAACACGGTGCGCAATGAATTGGTAGTTGATCTGTCAGCACTATCCTTATCTTCAGGGCAGATGTTTTTATTTTATTTGGCTTATAATTCCTTACTAAATGTAGTATTTCATCTCGATGTACTCCCTCTTTGATATGATTTAAATCAAATTCCTCGTCATTATAATTCGCTTCCGATAGCGAAGAAAGTAACAGAGGTTATTGAAAACGAAAAGATTTTGATTGACAAATTAATCGGTATTCTCGACACAGGAATTATAGGACTTGAACAGCGGAACTTTGTAACTGAACAAGAAATTATGTCTGTTTATAGAATTAAAGAGAATGTATTATCGCATAAAAAACGAAACAACTTAAACAACTTACATTGAAATAAATGTTTAATAAAGTAAACAAATAAATATTAAGATTTTTTTTTTTTTTTTGTAAATTTTGATACCCTTTAGATCATAATTGTTCTTTATTTCATAAATTACGGTTTCATATTTTTAATTTTATAATTTCTGCATGCCATCTTACCAGATTTAAACTGATGATCTATAATCCGGAATCGCCGAAGTCCCGACGAGTCCGGATTAACGACTTTTGACTGTATTCAAGCTTTCACTGTATGTTCAATATGTAAACCTCTTACATAATTTACTGTTTCTAATACATTTGTGACACTCTCTACAGAGTTCTAGTTGATATATACATGTAGTAAACAGTAAATCATCATCTTCAAATGACATTCACCATTTCACAAACAGTTAACGCAACAGTAAATTAATATTTGACTAAAATGAATGCTTGCTGCACAATTTTGTAAATTTCTATGCGTCTGTGACTGCACATATATTATTCTTTTACGTCATCTATTTTCACATTATATATGATATAATAAAATTTTTTCATATTAAATATGATATAATAAAATATTTCCAAGGGAAAGAAATGTTACCAAAAATGGATCTAACATAGCAATCTAACTAAAAAAGGTATTGTAGCATCATTTTTGTGAATATTTGAATAATCTATTTTAGATACTTTAAAAAATGCTGAAATCGTAAAAATAAATAAATAAATAAAGTCCTAAAAAACTCAAACAATAAACATGGACCAGATACTAAATCAAGTTTAAAGTCTTTTAAATTCTCACAACACACATTATAGACAAATTTTTAAAAAATGAAATAAATTAAACACGGAACTACATAGATATTTCTAGTGGCAGAAAAATGCTTTATATTCAAGTAAATATTTTTACATATTTAATTTTTAGAGCAAATTTACTTGATATATGTTCAATAAAAATTGTAATCACACAAAAACATTTATAACAACTCAGAATGAGCAGAAATTTATGTAAGACAAAAATATCTGAGATAGCACTGAGCTCGATGATATTCTGACACGAATTACAGTTCTCAAATAAAAAGATTTTAATATGAAGAACTGTCAGAGATAAATCTGGATGATCACAGCATTTTTTTTTTTTTTTTTCATATGATAATTTGTGATCTTACAACCTCAGTAATAATTAAGTTAATTACTTAAAGATAGATACAGCATATAGACCTGCCTTTTCATTAATTAAAAATCATAACTTAAAGAATTATCAAAATAGAAAAACTGACATAATGAAAAACTTTCATAAATGAAATATTCCTATTTAATGAAGTTTTAAATATAAATAAAGCAAATAATTTTGTCTTCTCATTATTTTTTGAATATCTTCAATGAAGATTTAAAAAAAAAATCATAGTTTACATTAAAAAACTCACAAACAGCCTGAAAGAAAATAATCATACACTGGTGTCCAACATTATTTCATACACACAAAAACAATGAC